TTTGAGTTTCCATTTTATTTCAGTTGTCCATATTACCCCCCCCCCCCCCCCTAATTTTTTCAAAATCCGGAGAATTTTCCTAGAATTTTCTCGAAAACCTACGAATTATCTACAACTGTCTCGAAAACCCAAGTTTTTTCTGGAATTTTCTAGAAAACTGAATAATTTCTTCGAACGTGCTCGGACACCCTAGAATTTCCTCGAATTTTGTTTGAAAACTCTGAATATCCTTGTAATTTTTTCGAAAACTGGAGAATTTTTAGAAATTTTCTCAGAAATCGGAGAATTCTCTCGAAAATCGGAAATATTTCTCGAAAACTTCATAGGAAACATGAAAAGATCTACCGGAAAAAATAAACACGAACAGAATAAGAAACAAAAACTACGGGGCCCCTTCCAAGCCCCACTTTTATATGTCACCCTGGTTTCCTGCCATTCCCGCAGTTACCGACATAGCTATGGTCGGGATAAAGCTTCTTGTTTTGACCGCAAACTGGGGGGGCATAAAATCGCCACTCGGGAAAAAAATCCCTCCATCCGGGCCTTAATTAATAGAAAATTTACACGTCAATATTATTAAATATTTAATTCACGATCAATTAGAAATTTCGATTATCAATTATTTTAGCATTTTTCAATTTCAATTAGTATATTTAAAACTTGATCAATGTGAGTCGGAAATTCTTTTATTATTGAAGAATCAGAAGATTGATGGCCTTCCCTGCCACCAATTAAACCCCCACAAAATTAATGGTATCAGGAAAATTTTTCCGTTGGTACAAAAATAACACATAATTAGTAGATAATGCAACTTGAGTCAAACAATCATAATTTTGAGCCCAAACCATCAGATGCAATTTTTAAAAAACTTAATTCAGTCGAAAATTTTTGTCTTCAGTACATAAAAAACACATCATTAACACATTATTAACCGCCACTCGAATCTTCCTAATTAGACCCTGTTTCGCAAACTTCACGCGGGTGGGTCCTCCTGTTGCACGAACGTCAGGTGGAACAGAGCTTATTTGGCTGAGTGTATGCACTGATAGAATGATTCATTTATTCTAAACGAGATTCGTTAACTATTAACGAATGGTGGAGTTGAATATAACCAAATGAATATTCGTTAATAGTTAACGAATGGTTCACTTGAATGGCGAAAGTCAAGTCAAACAAGGCTCCTCAAATCTACATTCGTTAACTATTAACGAATGAACATTTGATGGGACCAAATAGACCCTAACCTCCAACCAAAATCCATTCGTTAATAATACTAATCCGTTCTATCAGTGTGGGAATCACAAAAAAACCCAATTTAAAAACTCCAGAATATTTTCAAAATTCACTGACCAATAATTCCCGATTCGCTTGGTCTCTGACCAAGGACTGGAAACGAAATTCAGTATCGAAACGAAAGTGCGTTTCTATCGTTTCGTTTCCGGAAACGAAAGTAGAACCGAAACGAAACTGGAAACGAAATTGGAATAACGTTATTACGGGAATCGAAACTGGAAACGAAAGTCGAATTAGGCTCATCGGTGGTCAGTTTGGGTACTAATGGCGCCAGGGAGCGGCGTATCTTCCAATATGGCGGTCTCCTCGATCTAGACAACATAACCTTTTGTAAACAAACCGAGCATATGTAGGTATGTACCCAGAAAATTCAAGGATAATTGCAAAGAAATAATCAGCAAAAAATATACGTTTCCTCTTTCCCTCATTGCAAAAACAAATCTAAATTCAAAATCCCTTGTGGAAAGACATACCCAGAAATCCACAAGAAGTGGTTAGATTTTATTGGTATAGATAAAATAAACCCTATGTCGCGAAAGGGTTTATGCGAGGCTCACTTTACTCCAGATCGATTTATAATTGAAAGTGAAAATACAGGTAAGCATCTCCCCTATATTGTTTTATTAAATACAGAACAGGTAGGAATAAATGTCATATTATATTTCAGGAGAAAAATTAACGATCACGAAATTGGAAACAAATGCTGTTCCGACAATTACAATTGTTCTACAACTGGATGAGGACATATCAGGTTCGTCAACTCGCGAGAAAAAACAATAAAATCATGTATTTTACATTCTTATTGAATTTTATGTGTTTCCAATAGGAGAAGACATCACTCTACTTCACTGTTCGACTCCTGATGACTCTTTTTCCTTCCCTGCTAGTCCTGGGAAAACGCAGGTGGTCAAAGTGCTTTGAACAGGATCGTATCTCTGATCAAATTTTTTAAAAATGTGGAAGTATGCGAGCGCAAGAGCTTGGTAATGAAGAACCTAATGACACATGTAAAGATGCAGAGGAAATGGAGTTGCTAGGAGAAAAGAATGCCGTTCAAAGTACCAAAGCTGATGAACATGGGTTTTTTTGAGGTGGCCAGGATAATGGAAGTATCTGTCCACAAACTATGGTCCAAAAAAAAGAGACACAAAGCCAGGAGATGCAGACTGAACTAATGGGGAGTGCAATAACAGAAACAAACAGAATTGAAACGCTTCCAGGATCGCTCTGCGCAAACTCGAATTGCCCTGGGATATAATATTCAGGATTCTCGAAATAATGACAAAGCAATTTTGCATTTTATAAGGCTTGAGAATTATCTCAAATTTGAATTTGTATTAGCTTCACTAAGTCTAGAAGCTTTTTTTGATGTTTACCTGACGCAATTTTAAACAACAAATTCACTTAATTCAGATGAACAAACACTTCGTTGCCCCAAACTTAATATAAGTTGTTATTCATACTTTTCCCTCCAAAATAAAGCAACGCTGCTCCCTGGCGCCATCTGCCCTGAGCTTTGCGCGATGATCCTAATAACGTTATTGCCGGAAACGAGAATGGAAACGAAAGTCGAATAACGTTATTGCGGGAAACGAAACTGGAAACGAAAGTCGAATAACGTTATTGCCGGAAACGAAACTGGAACTTTGGCCCCAAAGTGATGATTTTTCGAGTGATTTCTTAAAAATTAAGAAGTCATCAGAATCTACTAGAAGTCATGGGATCACAAAAAATTAAAAGAAATCATAAATTCCAATTCTTATTGAGAAATCACAAAAATCATTCAATAAATCACAGGAAATTATCTCATTATGGAAATCTCTGAGCCACCCAATTGAGAAGTGACCAGACCCTCGTTAAATGACCGTTTCTTTTTGAGTTTTTTATACCAGAATAAATCAATACATAAAAAATAATATGTTGTTCTGAAAGCAGAGAAAATTTCTGACCAACATAATGAGTTCAATTTTTTCTTATTCTTAATGAGTTGTAATTAGAGTTGGAAAAAAAGCTTTTAGAAGAAAAAAAATTCGGTCTTCAATATCTCTGCCAATAATTGAGTTAGAGAACTTTGTTTGTGTTTTTTTTTTCTATGTATGTATGTATGTATGTATGTATGTATGTGACCGATTCAATTTTGTCACGATTAAGGGGAGACGGAACCCCTTTGTCTGCATGAAATCTTAGAATTGTTTTCTCCTACAGTTATTAATTTCTATCTATGAAATTACTTTATCCACTCGATTATCGCATTGTTGAGTCAATGAAGAAGTTTAATGAATAAAAAATGATAATTGCAGGAGAAAACACAATTCTAAAGATTCATATAAACGCAGGGGTTCCGTTTTCCCTTAAAGGAAAAATATTTGTCCGAATGGATTGAATCTGGGCTAGAAATATTCGTTTTCATGTTATACAGACCGAGTTCGAAGATGGAACCGATTCCACTTTTAATTTTTAAATTATTGCAAAATTTTCAAAATTCTCAAAATTTTTTGGAATTTTCAAATTTTTGGAAAGTTTTTAAAATTTTCATTTTATGGGGGTCTCTCAAAGTTTATGAGGGTCCTGTAGGGATCATATGGGAGTATTATGGGGATCTTACGCGGTTTTAGTGGGGCTTTATAGAGATTATATGGGGGTTCTAGAGTATATTCTGAAGTTTCTATGGGCGTCATATGGGGATTTTATGAAGGACTGTTTTTCTTCCAATGAATAAGGCCAATCTTCCTCTTTACGCTAATTTCCAAGGTTTCTTCGTGCGAACCGAAAAAAAGATTGTGACAAAAATATCTTCTTCCTAGAAGAACAATGAATTATATTTGATACAAGCAAATCATGTGCAAAATAACCATTCGGAAGCATATTGCTAATTTATTAGCAAAAATGATTATACTGTATGCAATGCAACCACTTGTTTTCATGTGATTGAACTTTCGTTTCCAGTTTCGTTTCCCGCAATAACGTTATTATTTCGTTTCAGGGACGGAAACCGCGTTTTCAGTCCCTGATTCTGACAGACTGGTAAAAGAGGACTCTAGGAAACCTCTTCCCCGGACAAAATTTCTCCGAAAAAAATTCCCCCGGACAAAATTTCCCCGAAAAAAAATCCCCAGACAAAATTCGGCAGACAGAATTTCTTTTGAAGTCGCGCTCGTATAACCGGCACGAGGAAAGTTAGTGCTGGGGATATCAGTTTAACTGTGTTGGGTTTTCAGCTGAATGTTGATTATTTTGGCTTCTATTCGTGCCTAAATTCTTAATCATTCAGTCCAGATTCAACTTGTATACTGCGAGCCACGAGGCGAAGAGCAAATTACTTGCTAATATAAATTAAAATTACAGTATCTTTATCACGTCTGAAAAAGGTTAGAAGTGGTTGTTTTGGCTCTCGTCACTTATTTTTTCTTGGTGTTTTTCGGTATGAATTCTTATTGTTTATTAAAGACTGTGGCTTCCTTGCAAAACTGCTGTGTTACAATTTTTTTGTCTTTCCTCTGTCCATATATTCGAAAAGGAAATTGTGTCCAGGGAAATCATGTCCAGGGAAAATATCTCCGGCTACCATAAAATACATCCCGTGACGTTCATTTTTCAATTTAAAAGCATAACTTTCGAAACGTAGGAGTGTATGCCATTAATATAAATTGGTGCAATCGTACATAAATTAATTATATTAGTTTATTACGATGCATCAACTTAATTACCTTCGAAGACGACGCATAACCGCCAGCTGATACTCTTCCTCCTCCATGATCTCATCGTTCTTCGGAAATGGGAAACAGTTAGTGATCTCCAGACGATTTTGAACAACCAGCCCGAGAAGAGCACCCTGAGCTACTTCCATATTACTTGTCGATTCCTCATGACAATGTTTGATGATTTTCATAGCTGCTAGCCCATCGCACTGGACGTAGTCTATTCTCGACTCCAACTCAGTTATTCTTCTCATTGGATTCCTCGACGACATAGTTGGGTGTACAACTTCTTAGGCCTTTTTCGAATGATGAAACTTTCGTCGATGTTTCTATTATATTTATAGTTATTATTAGTTATTATAATGAAAAACGCGAGTTACACGCGTGCAAGCGAAAGGGATGTTGTACGAGTAGGCAAACGTGGTTAAAAGCATGAAGAATAGAAGGAAGGAGGCTGAACTAAGGTATGATCGAGACAGGCAAACTGGATAGATCTGAGTAGAGACCCGGATCGGTGGGTTTGACTGACTCAAAAAATGTTAGTTGGTACCCCACGGGAAAGGCGGCGTCCCGGTCGAATTGTCGGTAAATGTGAGTCGGGTGCGTGAGTAATTCGGCAGTAGCAGTCCCACTGTGACAGGGATAGGTTCGGAGGGTGATCTTTGTCCTCCTTGCACTCAATGTATACTTTATGTTTTTCATTTGATTTATTCGCCGAATAATTAATATTAAGGGGTGAAACAAAGACTGTTCAATGGAGAATTAAATTCCCCATCCATCAACCCCCGTTTCATCCCTTAATCTCTGCAATAAAAAAATTAATATTGCGACGAAAGTCACGACGCTATGAGAAACCCAATGTTTTCTCGGCGCAGAGTGACTCCCCAATAATTCGCCCGCTAATTAAAAAATCGTCTCTCCCCTCCTAATTAACA